CCAGGTTCTGCTTGGACTGGTTGTAGAGCTTGTTGCGGTAGAGCGTATTCGGCCAGATGCACTTGATGATCTGGAAAATTTCAAACCGAATGTTAAACTTGTCGAAGAATTGCGTGTGCGTGCCCGTGTGCTCCGCTTCAATATAGAACTTCATCATCGAGTGGAGGAGGTACTCGTTGGCAAACGGCATCGAATTGAGCAGATCCACCAGGACTCCGCGAGCGCCACCAGGGCGTGGCCACGTGCCTCGGAACAGAATAGACACAAGTCCTGCCTTCAGGTACGGGTTCTTGATATAGCCCGAGCTCTCCAAGAAAGTGATGCACAGCATGACCAGCTCGTCTCCCTGCGTGGCAGTAATGATCTGTGGCATGCACCACATGATGAATTTGAAATTGCTGACGATGTCGTCCAGGAAATACTCGGGAAGGCATTTGAAGACCTCCGGCTGCTGCACTGGAAGAGGGAGCTTGATCTCCTCCTTAGGAAAGTTCGTGCCCGAAACAACTCTCAGCAGCCATACAATAACGTACCGCATGAACAGCATCGACCGGGCTTGCCACTGGTCGTCAAACAAGACACCCTGCAAACTGAACTTCAAGGCCAGGCCGAGATCCAGCTTATCCTTGTACTTCTTCAAAGCCTCCTCGAAAACCCGGAGCTGCATTGGGTTGTTGACCCACCGGTGCCGTTCCAACTCAAACTTATTGATGGTGGACTCCATGTGTCGGAGGTCCTTCTCAAGCTGCTCCAGCTTGGAGGTTAAGAATTCACTACCATAGTGATGCGCAGCAACGGTGAGGAAGAAGATCTCAGTGATAAAGTTGGAAGTGCCTTCCGCCTTCTTGGAGTAAAAAGCATCTGACGCATGCTGATCGGCATTGATCTTGGTCTCATCCCTCATATCAACTCGCGGGTTACGATGGAGATAATTGGCATCGACTCGGTCAATCTAGAACACAGCCGTTAGCTGCAACCACTCCTGCTGCCGACTATGACGTAGCATGCTTACCTTGGTGAAGCTTGCATCCATGAACGGTTCGCAAAGTTGGTCCAGGCAGGTGGTCAAATTGAACATGAACCCGTCGGATGACACTGTGTTGGGATCCACCTGCATTGCCCGTCGCTTGTGGTTGATATTCAGGGAGGCCGCGAACCAGTCTAGAACCCTGTCCCTGGCATCTTTCGACGCCCGAATCATGTGGTTCATGACATCGAGGAGATCAGAGCTGATCATGTGCTGCATCATGCGGATCGACCGCTGCGCGTTCAAAATGTAGGATTGATCTCTTGTCTTAGGGCTGGAGAAGTAAGTCATGGTCACACTGCTCTGCAGCGGCGACAAGCGAAACCATGGCCCCAAGAGAGTGCTCTTCTCAAACGAAGCCGGATCCCGGGATGCGTTGAAAATTTCCGACTCGGTAATGGCAGCTGCAATGACCGCATGGCGGACGAGATTTCGAAGAGCCTACAAATCAGGTTGACGAGCGCTCCATGAGAAAAAGAGAGTGGCCTTCACGTACTATCATATATGGCTTGTAGTCATCATTGATGGTCATAGCAGCAAGCTCCTGGCTCATCTCCTCCACAGCTGTGATGAAAGCCGGCTTAAGGCTCTCATCCTCGTCGAACCTCTTGACGGCCTCGCCGATGAATTCAAAGTCCACGCCCTTGTCATCCTCAGGATCCAAGAGGAGATACGGTTTTAGCGGTGACTTCTCCGCCGGCTCGAGCCTGTTTAATCACGAGTCAGCCGAGTTCTGAAGCCAAGGTATCACTTTCACCGCAACACGCACCCAAACATCTCCGGCATCGTAATGGCAAATATACAATAACTCAGGCATATGCGGCGCGCCTCGCAGATAGCACTGAATTTCGGATCATCATCGCGATTGCGGCGGATACCCTTGTGCAACCTAGAAATCCGCCTCCAGCACGGTAGTAGATAATCCAAGGGCTTCTGCCGCGGAGCATTGGAGGCCGCTTCCAGAAGGGCCTGGTCCAAGACCGTCACATCCACACGAACCTCCCGGCCTTGATCCTCAAGCTCACTCTTCAGACCCGGCAAATATGTCAATCGTTGTCCGTGAATATCCTTCTGCCGAGCCTCATTCAACGACAGCTTGAAGACAGCGCTCAGTGTCCGATCCTGAAATGCCTCAATGCTCTCTTCCGCTTTCGGGGGTGGTGGTGTGCCGGACACCGGCGTTACGGTCTGTGAGCGATCCGGGACCGAACTGGCAGAGGCTGCAGGTGTGATCTTGATCCGCTTCCATTCGGACTGTTGGGGCTGGAGTTGTGGTGAGGGGGCTGATGAACCGGGCGCGCTGCCCGGTCTCGACGAGGATTGTGTCTGGATCCTGTCCGGGTATCGTGAGGATGGTGTAGATGGGGCAGGGGAGGCAGGCCTGCTTGATGCTGAATCTGCGGCGCCTTCATTCTGCGCCGACGGGGTTGGGTTGCCCAACTTGGCCAAGCGCTTGCTGCGGATCTGATTATGAGGCAAGTCAGGACGGGGAATGCCTGGATGGCAGGAGACGAGAAAACACGGGCCGGGACCGGGAGAGATAGCGACAACTCACCTTGTCCGCTTCAGACTGGCTCTCTGACATCGTGGATGATGCTGATGGGGCAAGCCCGAAGCAGAAGGGCTTCCGTAGTATCAGCGGGGCTCGACAACGGAGCGAGTTGATGGCTGGAACCGAAAACTCAGACGGAGGTGAGATGGAGAGAACGGGGGGAAGGGAAGGCAATCAAGGCTGGATTAGAAGCGGGGAGGAAAAGAGTGTAGTGGGTGCCCGGATGAATGAGCCCGATAGTGACCCCCAGAGCGAAACAGTGAGGAGAAAGAAGTCAGTCACTGGCGCTGACTCTGTTCCTGGACTGCTTCTCTCATGGTCGCTGAGGTTCGCCCGCATGAATTATTAACTAAGCTGGTTGGCGTTGGTTCGCCGCTCAGGGCCCTTTCTTTTGCATCGTGTGTTCTTTTCTCCACTTTCCACGGTTAGTTCTCCAACACTTGCGAGATAACCGACTACAGACTTACTACATACTTATCTTGCCGATCGCTACTGCTCACTTTTCATCTATTCCTTCTTCAACAACATATACATTTGCTTCTCAAGGCTACTAGACAAAGCTACTTCCAAGCTCAGGTTCATCACTCCGTGAAAACGCCATCAAAATCCTTGCACACGTATGGACATCTAATGGGGAACAAAAGTGGCGGGGGGTCATCAGGAACAAAATGTAACAAGCATTAAGGTATAAAAGAAACAAAAGGAAGATGCAAAAATGGCACCCCGCATGCCAAAGACACAGAGAAAAGTCGTGCTTTCTTTCAGTACCTCCCCTTGAGGGAGTCTAGTCGCCGACAACTCTTAAGCTCCATTGCTCTCGCTTCCTTGATCTTGTCTACGTCCGGGAAGAACCAGCCCTGGGCGTCCTGGAGCATGCGATCGCGCCTATGTTGTTCAGCTTCGCATTCGTACCGTAGTTTCGTAACGTAGTCCACCTCCACGCGCTGGTCCAATTGCCGGAATTTCCGCGAGCTGTAGTCTTCCACATCCCCGGGATTTACATAATAGTCCACGTTCAACTTGGGTGTCGTGCGATGCATTGTGTGGGGAGGCACGGCAGCGTCAAAACGGTACGAAGGGCCTGCCGGAGTCGAAGAACCGGAGAATCGCGACGAGATCCACGGAAGCACGAAGAGGAGAATAAGAGGGAGAAGCTGCTGGAAGGTAGCCCACAAAGAGGGTGTAGGTTCGGTACGAGCATTGGCCTCACGGGGCCTTCTCCGGGGGCGAGCACCTCCAAACTGATGAACCCGGATACCAGGACCGCCGCCCATGTTGAAAACAAACTGGGGTCCACCTAGACACACTGATTAGCCAAGTCCCTCGCACTGACAAGGAGAAGCCATACCAAAAGGACTGAAACCACCACCCATATTGCCAAACCCACCGCTAAAGAACCGCTGGAACAGTTCTTCCGGCGAGATCTCCTCCTCGAACATCGGACCCCCAGCACCCGCAGACCGGGGGAATCCACCGCCGCCAAAGCCGCCAAAAGGCGAAGCGCCCGAGGGACCAGCACTCGGGGTGAACCTGCTGTCCGGATCGCCTCCAAACCTATCATACTTGGCTTTCTTCTCGGGGTCTGATAAGACCTGAAAGGCGCGCGAAACCACTGAATTTCCAGAATGACCATTAGAAATATAATTCGCACACAATCATCAGAGTAATATCCCAATCACTACTCACACTTAAACGCCTCATCCGCTCCCTCATACCCGTTCTTATCAGGGTGTGTCATCAGACTCAGTTTGCGATACGCCTTCTTGATCTCGCCGTCGGAGGCGCTCTTCTCCAATGACAGGATCTCGTAGTACGCCGTTGCCGAACATTTCCGTATCCTCAGCACAGCCGCCTTCTGCTCTGGTGTGTATTTCCGATCCTGATTCCCCTGGTTGTGCTCGCGGGATTTGGCAGAGCCTCCATTGTCTACCCCGGACGCGGTGGCGGACGGCATGGCTGCAGAGCTTTTATTTCCCTTTTATTGATGAAACGAGTCCCCTCTGCGTGTAGCCAGCCGGCTGTTGAATATCCCACTCTTCGGATTTGAATCCCGGTTTGCGAGGGGTTGAAAGCCTAAACAGGCTCGTCGGGAGAGGGAAGGGTGGATCAGCGATGAAGCAGCCGACGGATGCAAAGAGAATCGCTGATTAGAGAGGGGAGGGCCCCGGGTTTCGCAATCGACTCGAGTGAAATCAGCGACCGGAAAAGGGAGACCAAGTGGTAAAGGATTGGTTGGTTCTGGGCTGCTGCGGGCCAACCCTCGATCTGGGGAATAATAGATAGTATGGGGTGAACTTGATAAAACGTGGTGAGTTTCTGGAGGATCAGATGTTGACGCTAAGCCGAGTGAGTGAGAGTGAGCCGTTGGTTCGAGGTTAGTCAGTCACTCAGTCAGTTTGGAAAGGTACGTCGGAGCTGCCAGTCACATTTCCCGCGTCACTAGCTACGTCGGATTGTCTGCTTGACTGCCAGCATACGCACAGGTTAGTTACTATTTCTGCAATTGCATATCCATTCTATTTTTTTTCTTCAAGTGCTACAATCCAGTCATCTCTAAATCGCTCACTAACTCTACCTCCATGACAGCAAAAATCCCATAGAATACCACTCCCATCGCAACCATGTCCGGTTCGAAATCCCCGATAGAAGAGACCGAAAAGTCTCTCGTGCAGAAAGCCAGAGCATGGGGAGGTAAGCATATACCTCCGTTTGAACTCAAACATCCCGACTCCAACAATGTCACTAATCACTCAACCATCCGCACAACAGAGAACTCATTCCCACCCACCCTGCTCGCCACTCTTATCACTGCACAATACATGCGACCATTCCAGGCACTTCCCATGCTTTTTCCTCCCGTCCTTATATTCACCAGCTACGCCAACATCCAAGGCTTCAAGACCGATACAGCCGGTATCAGCGCTGCGTGGTCCGGGCTGTACCTGTTGCTCGCGGGTCGTCGGAAGCAGCCGTTCATGAAGAAATGGGGCGCGAGGGGAATTATCCGCGGTGCGACAATGGGTCTGTGCTTGGTTAACATGGTTAGTGGTGGGCTGGCGTACACCCTTGGAAAGAGGGAGGATGAGGAGGAATAAACGGGGGAGATATAAAAGTTATGGTTTGATTTGGTGAAAGCATCTCGTATGATGCTGCAGAACAGTGCTATTTATATGCGGGGTCATGTATGATATGAGTTGAACGGGGAACAGGCGTCGCTTTGGGTATGGTGTTTTGGTTCTCCTTCCATTTTATTATTCAATTAGGTGACAATAGTCGAGTTTTTAGGTCCTTGACGAGTGTGTCCTTCTACATGAGTATTCTATATGTAGGTTATATATATCTAGATCTTGAGCGAGGGGTTTCCAAACCTGCTCTGCGCATCGCACAAAATGCGACGCAGTATTCGTCCACGATAGCTCTGAAGTACTTTCGCACTGCAATCACTCCGTGTAAGGCTTTTCTGCCAAGATGACGTCCCGAACACTGGGAGGAACCAACCACTCCAGGTCCTGAGGATTGGCTACAGCAGATTCTCGGGCCCTTGTCGAGCTCACGGACGGCGCACCAGGCTTCTTGCCTTCGACAAGCTTGATGCGATCAGCCCATTCTCGTTTCCCGCCCACCCTCTCCATGGCACCCTGTGCCAAATCAGCCACAAACGCTTCCTGCTCCTCTCTACTGCCCCAGTCGCTATCCGGACGCATGGTCACTCGCAGCCGGTGCTGGGAAAGAAATGGTCCCAACGGCTGGAGAGTATGCTCCGGCGGGTAGTACTTCGGGTTAAAGATGCGGATCAATGTATCATAGCCCGTCAGATGCACCTGCTCCAGTGACTGGGGGTATATACCCGCGCGTTCAATTTCCGCGGCTTTGTCCACAAAGTATGGTTTCTTGGTAACTCCAATGTCGATCACGGGAAGATTATGGGCCTTGGGAATAGTCCCGTTTGTTTGTAATGACGAGAGAAGGTCTCGAGCGAAGAGCTCCATCATGGCCAGACGGGTCTCGAACGCAGCCGGCTTGGATGGCTTGTCGGCATTCTGCGTCGCGAGGAGCAATAAGAGACGGGAGGGCTTGTGGGGATTTTCTAGAAGAGCGGAGGTCGCGATCCGGCTGTGGGCAAGGGTTGGCGGGTTGAAGGACGAATCGAGGACGTACAGAACGTCCGTGGACGAGGTGGGATCGGGGGGCTCAGAGGGGACAGAGGCCAGAACCTCCAGACTGCGGGTTGATGCAATGAAGAGTCTGAGGCCCGCGGCATACTTTTCGCGCAGGGCATGAAAGGCGGGGCTCGTCATTCTGGAAGTTGATGAGTCAATCTGGCGTGGTCAGTGTGACAACTCATCGAACAGAGTATGTGTATGGTAACATCAAGAACGATGACGATGATGATAATGATAATGATGCCCAAGCCTGATCAGTGGTCACGTCAGAGGCCGACAGAAGAAGAGGTGGGGTTGCGGACGGGAAGCATCCATGGACGTCGCTGGACGAGGACCCTTTGGTGCGGGTGGCTGCAGGACCCGGACTTCGCTGGGTATACCGCTGAATACACAGAAAGTATCTAGATAGATAGACATTTAGTATGCATGTACGGCTTATTGGCGACGCTTCGAGACCCTAAGCCCACACGGCAGAGCAACACGAGCCGATATTAAGGCTTTATCTCATTGCCCATACTGAGTGGTGGATGGCGGTCTGTGAGCTGTCCTCGAAGGGATCGTAACACTTAGATTAAAGCCGCGATGATCACAATCAGGGACTCGGTGCTCCGTAGGCTGGATGTAGTAGTCTAGACGGACCCGGAAAGCCGGAAAGTTCTGGAGTCTGGATGTCCCGATTAGGGTCAGTGGTGTGTTCCTTGTGCTCTCGCTAAATGCCGCCTATTCCGGTGTGTTGGATTGCCGGCCGCGGTCCGTGGAGTCTCCAGTGACTGGGCTGCTCTTGGTACGGAGTACTTCATCAGGGGTAGTAGATACTCCGTACTTATGGCCAAGATGTGATCATGGCACTCCAAGTATCAACCGTAGAAATAGAGTCCAGCTTACGAATGAGGGGGAGCTCAACCGGAGTTAACTACTGGAATGGTGTGACTGGACAGGACTGTAGCTCTCCGAGCTCTGAAAGCTAGCCGATAAGAACCGAAGACGATCATCTCCTAGTCGATGGCGCACAGTGAAAGTGTGTTCACGGTTCAGGCAACCATATACCTTAGTCCTCATCAGCTTGAAACGCTGGCGGCCGTGGTTTCCCCAGCTCCAGTCAGGGTCAGGAACCAAGAACACCTCAGAGCTTTGCTTTCATCTATTATCACCATCAGTGCCAATATCCCGCACCACACAATATAATTTATCCCGGCCTTCTTTGTGTGCCTGGATGCCAGTAATCAACCGATATGATCAGTCTTTGTTCTGGAGAAAAAAATCGCCGTTGTCTAGACCCCCCATGCTGGCTCCACTTGGTCTGCACCTACCACCGACGCCTCGTAGGCCCAAGACCATCGCCGCGTAGATTTTCTTGATCAACCCTGTCAAACGATACTGGCGCGCGCCCACTGACGGAAATGATATCGGGATTGACGATATACTGAGCCTCCTCGGGGACTTCTTCCTCCCTCTTCTCCATAGTTCGTGTTGAGAAAAGACTCGGCTCAGACTTGAGTCCCTTCGGTTACAAAAGCGTCTCACGCCATTAGGTCGAGGAGTCTTAGCTCAGAGTCAAAGCCACTAGGCTGTATCATTTTAGCCCCTTTGAAGCATCGTTGGACTAAACTACTGTAAGAAGCTTGGGGGTGTTGGCAATGAGCTCGCTAACTGTATGATGGGATGAGGATAGAGCTTGGATCCTTCGAGACTCATTGTGCCCCTTTTTCTACTTTTTTTTTCTCCATGTCTCCAGAATATTATGTAGAGTGTATACGTTGCCCAGTTGCGTGAATGGAGGATGTCATCTCCGCACGGTCAACTAGTGAAGGCGATAGTAAACAAATCCACAGCGGATTGTTGATTAAAGCGTGTCCACCAGTAAATTACGGTAATGACGATTTCGCGCCGGTCCATTAATGAGGTTGAGTCAAGCGTGGTGGTTGAACATACGATGGTCGACGGTTGTTCCATGGATACTCCGTTTGAGGACCTACGGGGATTACCAGATCCGGGCAATGTTGACAACCCACACGATCTACGTTGTTATTGTTGTTGTTTCTTTTATTCCTGAACCAGAAAATAAAAAAGGGCCCTGAAATGGTCCTTGAAGTGGGGGGGTAACAGCTTACCGACACATCCTTCTCAGACAAGCTGTGCGATCCTGCTGCACGCTGGCTGTTGGTCTGGCAGCAACAGCACAACGAAGACTATCCGTATTAGGCAAAACGAGGGGGAGGAAAGAAAAAAGTCGAACAAGACGGAAGCCGTGCGGTTGGCCCGTTTGGACAGGCACAATGAGATTAAGCTGGCAGCCAAGCACCAATGAGAAGAGGCGGTGAGGGGATGAAACGGGGCGTCATCTCCAGTCCAGCTAATCCGCGTGTGGTTCCTGCGCCGGAGACCCACTCGGGACTGAGGAAATTAAAATTAAGATCAATATCAGGAGGAGGGCAGCGAGTGTTGATTGGCTGAAGGGTTATCAACAACTGGGCACAGCTGCACGCCCGACACCACCTCGTTCGGCCAAGATGAGACATTAGCGCCGTATGGGCGAATCTTCTCAAGACTCGCCCACCAACGGGCATCTCGCATCTGTTCCATACGACGTTGGAGAAAATACGGTGCCTGGTAATATCGCGTATCGACGGGCTGCAGGGATCCCGAATTGAATGATTTTAATCAAATTTCGATATTACGGCGTTCTCCTTTAGGTTTCCCTTTTTCTGACTTTCTCTCTTTTCCCCCCCGGGTCGTTTTTCCCTTTAAACTCCTTCACTTTCTTCCCGGGCCTCAAAAAGTCTCTCGTCAGACTGCTACATTCTCTCTCCCGTTCAACCTCTCTCTGCGAGAACGTTGCGACCTTCCTTCTTGCGTCCAGTCACTCTTTCAACCTTGCTTTGATTTACTTGCGAATAGATTTCGCATCTCACTTTCGTTGAGGAAATCCTCCCCCGCAGTCTCTACCAAATAAACCCAAGAACGGAATATCTATCCCATCTACACGGACTTCTTCGAATCTCCATCAATCCTTCACGATGCAGCTTACTTCCAAGGTTTCCATCGCCCTCCTGGGTGCTTTCGCCGCCGTCGGTGAGGCCAACAACCACGGCTTCCATGCGCGCCAGATGAACTTCCACCCTGGTGGCTACAACAACCAGACTGTGTCGACCTCCGTCGTCCCCGTCTACCCGACCCCCGAGCACTCCAGCGCTCCCGTTGCTCCCAGCGCCCCCGCCAGCTCCCCCGCCGGCGTTGCTGCTAGCTCCCCCATCATCGGTGGTCACTACGCCAGCAGCTCCAGCTCTGCTGTTGTTGGTGCTTCGTCTGTCGCTCCTGTGCCCGTTCCCCTCGGCACTGGTGTCTCCAGCAGCGCCCCCGTCTCCGCTCCGGCTGCTGCTGCTACTGGTAGCAACGGTGTTTCGACTGAGTACGACACCGTGACTTCCACCAAGGATGTCACTCTCACCTACACTCTGGGTTCTGGTTCCACCCAGAGCGTCGTCACCACCACTATCCACCGCACCGTGACTGACGTCGAGACCATCTACGTGGTATGTTATGGATGCCAGTCCTGTGAGCGTGAAGGCTGTATACTAACCAATATATGATAGACCCCCTCTGCCAGTGCTTCCTCCACTGCCCAGGACACCACCGTCACCTCTGACACCACTGTCTACTCGACCTCCACCGACTACGAGACCTACACTCTCTACGCGGTCCCTACTTCTTCCGCTGTCGCTGGTAGCTCCGCCCCCGCGGGCTCTGCTGCCGCTGGTGAGACCTGTGCTCCGGTCACTGTTACTGTCCACGACACCGTCACTGTGGTATGTAATCCACTTGAAATCGAGCAGCCAATTTGAACTCCTTACTGATGCATTGCAGACCGCCACTCCTGGTGCCATCTCCACCCCCGACAGCGTTGCCAAGATCGAGGTCAGCTCCGCGTCCACCAGCGAGGAGGCTGAGACCACCACCCAGGCCGAGGCCACTACCCACAGCAAGCCCACCGTTGTCCCCACCCCCAGCGCCCCTTACGGCCACGGCAACGGCACCTTCCCTTTCCCCAGCGGCGCTGCCCGGCCCACTGGCTTCCAGACCAGCAGCAAGGTTGCTTTCCCCTCTCACTTCCGCCGCGTCTACTAAAGCCATGACTGAATTGAATTTGACTGCTTCGGGTCACGAGCTTGACGCCACG